GTACATTACGCCACAATACAATTGTCAGTAACTTGAGGACAACGTAACATTTTATTTTCAAGTTAATTCCTTGTTTAACTAATAAGAAAAATATATTAGTCTTCTGACCGACTTTTTTAACACTCCATCGATTTTCTAAATATTTTACTCAAACATCTCAATTCTAGCAACAAAAATAGATTTTGGAAATCCAGTGAATCAACTATTTCACAAAAAATAACCGTGAGGTATTTATAATGGAGACTCCAGAAATAGATAAGAGCACATTATCTTTTGCACTAGTGCTAATAACTAGCCTGTGCTCGTCGTTCCATGTATTTTTTTGTTAAGTTTTGCTGGCTGGCTTCCTGGCGGGTGACGTCTGCGTGATGATTTCACCCCATCCTCCAGCGTTGTACCAGATTCCTTAGCACGGTTGGCTGCGTACGGTGCGAATCGGAGGTGTGGTGGTGTCATCCCGCCACTCCACCCACCAGCCTCCAGCCCGGACGCGTATTCGCGAAATATTTCATAGGACGGTGCAAAAATTCGGTCGTGATTTTTTTTACCATTTTGTACAAAACGGATATCAGAAGCAACTTCTGGAAGATGCTTGCACTGACACCACGACTCATCGCAAATTATTTTAGGCACGTGACCCATTTGGGAAGATTTCACGGATGGGTGCAAGACTGCAAGGTGAAGCGATCCAACGGAAGACGACTCGTGGAAGTGCCTCGCACAGGTTGTTATTGATAAGACCACAATTCTTGAGATCTTGACTTTCACAACGAAATGTATTGATCCGCCTTACATCTTCCAGAGGGGTCGGTGTGAGACGACTGCCCATGGGATTCCCGCTTTATTTCACAGCCCCCAACAATGTTGTCTCCGTGTGCACTGAAGTATTTCTTAGTTCACTAGTTTATTTGTAAACGCATCAATGATGCAGTTGGCAGTGGTTTGCAAGCAAAAGCAACGCATTTCACACGAACAAAAGAAATCGGTCACATTTTGGTCAATGGCCGTTTCTTCAAAAGCACGTGCCGAGTGCATAGTTGCATACACAAATGTCGTTCATGCAAACAGTTATCGCTAACGCTGATAAACCAGACATGATGGAATACAGCTCGGTCGTCGACTAGCACAAACTGACCAAAGTCTGCAGTCCTCTGTACATTAAGATAGTTTTTTTTTACCAATTGAGTATTTACACGTGGGAAAAAACAAGCGTCCATCCCATCGAAATGTAACGGAAATGAATCCGCATTTTGCAGTACTGAGCTGCCTTCAAGAAATCCGGGGTTATGGCTTGAAAACGCATGTTTAGTTCTTCCCTCGCACCTCCGATGAGCGCGGTTGGCTTACATACGGTGCGAAAGTTCAACATACATGGCAACCACGATGACCACGGGGAGTTTTGCAACATGTGTGCGATTCACCAACCCTCGTCTCCAGTGTTGGATTAGAGGTGGGAGCCATCACCGCCCGTTGACTCATCAACCAATGCTGGGAAGTCAAGTGTCCTACAGCGGGTTTCCCAGTCTCGTCTGCTAAGCAATGCCGGTGGGCTTCCCACACATCGGTAGCTATGAATCGACCTCAAAAAAGGGGGATGACGGGGGCGGGGAGCTGCAGATTATAACCGAACGTACACGTGACGCATCGCAATTAATGCGAGGCGTGCCCGCAGGTTCACAGCCAAGAAGACTCGTAAGAGACGCCAAGTTTCCACAACTTTTTTTTTATTCACGGACAGTCGAATACTGGAGCAAAAAAAAACACACGCGACCCCCTGCAAAACGCAGCTAAGGCTCAAAACCTGACAGCGGCGGTGTGAATCAAAAGAGGAAATTTTGATTTTTCTTTTTACCACTTTGCAAAGCAGCCAAGGGGTTCCCGCTCATGTTACCAAAGTGGCCAAGGTTATCTCCTGAAGACGAGACCGTGAAAAAGGTCTTCAAAGTCTTGTAGCTGGTGCCCCAAAAAAAAAACCCACTAACGGCTCTCGCGAAACGGTCGCGACGGCAAATGCCGTCACAACAGGCGGGACAAGCCCAATGGTTTTGCAGCAGTCTGTATCACAACCATCACCACAATTAGTAAAAGCAAACAACCGCTCACTCGTTCACACACCAGTTTTACTTGCTCACTCGCACCCCCCCCCCCCCCGCTCTGCATCACGACAAGCCGATTTGTGCTCCACGTGGCAACTGGAGAACTAACACTAAGTGATTAGACAATTGAAGAACATCTATGAACACTGCACCACCGAGACAAATATAAAAGCATTGAAGCACGACCTCTAAAGACGGCTCATTAAATCCCTGGGATTGGGGGGCGGGGTAAATCCATAACTCCTATTGAAATGTCAACCTTGTATATATTGTGTTCCATTGTAAGTCAGTGTTTGTTACCAACAACTCAATTACCAATTAAAGTCCACATTCCCGACGTGTTTTGTTAACGGTTTTCAAGATTCAGAATGTACCCTCGAAAGCGAATACGCAGGTGTGCGTGCCTTTTGGGAACAGAAGCCTCCTAATGGTCAAAGGGCAAATCAATTTGTGGACCACGAGGTGTGGATGCGTTGAGCGGCAGATGCCATGCAACTATCGTGCGCTGAAAATACACTGATTTGAAGCGGAAAATGCAAAAAAACCCCTCGTTTATTAATCACAAAATACTAAACGATTCTTTACATTTGTTAAGCGTCCAAGATGTCGGCCACTCATGGCCTTCTGCAATTGTTACCAAGACTCCTCTGACACACATTCAATGCCAACAACGCAGCCACTCAGCCTTACTCTGCACAGACCGAGCGCAGGCAGACAGAGGCAGGAGGAGGATGTTGTCCCCCTTTACCCGGCGCAACCCCTACGACACCACTTACCTTTTAGCTTTCGGATATTTTTTTGTTTTTTCCTAAACGCGACCGATCGGGTCCCCCACGTCAACTCGTCCTCAAGGGACATCTCCCACCTACAGTCGACACACTCTCGCTCAAACAAACTCTAAGCGCACGGCCAAGTCTTGAGAGACAGAACTGGTATATATAGAGTATTTCCTACTTCACTGACAGCAAACAGTAGGACACAACAAGACGATGAAATGATTAAGAGAATCGGCTCTTGCGGCGGTCGCGATAATCCAGAGCTCCGGCTCGGTGCGTGTTAAAGAATCGACCGAAGGCTTGTGCTGCTCTTACGCAAGTGCCGACCCTTCCAACAACGATCATGTGGACCAGACAAGAGATGGGCAGGACAGACAGTACAGATGAGACACTACAAATGAGGCAGCGGGCACACGAGACCGGTGGTACAAACGATGGTGTGGAGGAGAGGTGGATCGAGGCAGGCGGATGGATGACTGGAGTCAAACGGGACGAGGCGGTACAGACACGACCGTACGGAGAAGATAGAATCGAAACGGCAGAAGAGACGACGAGATCGCATTCGGGACAAGACAAAGACACGGTGGCAGCACAAATGACCGGCAGTACACACGCATCAAAGCAGACGAGACGGCGTACAAAAACACATTTAAAAAGATGCTGAATTCTAAACAATACGAACGAGAAGACAAGACGACACGACAGTACTAACAGGGCAGAATGAGACACGGTATTACTGACACTATGGACTAGGCAATGAGAACGCGCCAGCAGATAATCAGGCAGTACAAAAGAAACAGCAGAAGTCAATGATGTACAAAGAAAGAGGGCAGAAACAAACGAGACTGACAGATGACGGTACACGATGAGCAAAACAGTACCGATTCTGCAAGTGAATCAGGACAATCATCACATGCCAGTGGTGTGAATCATCACATGCCTAAACAGGCAAGACTAACCAATAATAGACGAAGCGTTTGCAGAAAATACACAACACACCCTCTCTGTGCATAAAGCCACAAAGACCAATTGGAACTGTGTTTCAACACAACAAAGATTGCCGCCCCTTCCGCCTTAAAGCATTTTGCAGAATGCTCGGGGGGCAAGCCCCGTTAGCTACCAACATGTTAGCCAGTTTGCCACCAAGTGAGGGCAAGGTCACCGCAGCACTTTGTGCAGGCTAGTGTACACGTGCGCTTGACTTTGAGGCCCCATGATGCGTCGGCAAGGCTTCCTGTCAGCAGCTCAGACCCACATGACGTTTTCGGTTAACGCACTAAGATGGCCGGACAACACAAACACAGTCACAAACACTGGCATCAGTGGACACCCTCAAGCAAGAGTGGCAGAGCATACCAATGCATGGGCAAACAATTGTTACACGCTAATGGTAGAGCACCTATGTACGCTAAATAACACAATGGTGTCCTTTATTTAACCAGGTCAGTTGCTAAGCAGACATTTACACTGGAACAAAACCGTTATTTTAACTGGAAAGTCTCACCGGAGTCTCATGGCCTCTTCTGCTAGAGGGTCCAGCTACATTGGGATGTTAGGTCAAAGTCAAATTTTAATTGGCGGAAGGAGACTGCAGCACCCAGAGATGACCAACCACACAAGTTCAGCAGATAGTTGGATTTCATTAGCCCAGCTTGCTCAAACTGCCATATCTAGGATAAAACTTGATTAGGTGCTTTCGTGGCTGCAGGAATTACTCTTTGGTTTTTTTCGGTAAAGTCACGTAGAAATAATAAAATTATATAATAGCATACGACGTTTCGATTGCAACGCAAGCAATCATCATCAGGTACATAAGAGCTAAATTTAAGAGAGAGGAAACACATAACCGCAGATATATATACAGACCCTAAGTAGAGGGAATTAACAGACGCACCAGGGGACACAGAGAGACAGAGGAGCACAGTAAATTTAATGTGCTCCTCCGTCACTAAATTTAGTGTGCTCCTCCATCTCTGTGTCCCCTGGTGTGTCTGTGTTAATTCCCTCTACTTAGGGTCTGTATATATATGCGGTCATGTGTTTCCTCTCTCAAATTTAGCTCTTGTGTACCTGATGATTGCTTGCGTTGCAATCGAAACGTCGTATACTATAAAATTTTATTTTTTTATTATTTCTACGTGACTTTACCGAAAAAAACAGAGTAATATCTGGGTTAACTTGCAGACCCAGTGGGCGAAGCAAGTCTGACCACGTTTCTATCAGACTGGTCAGAAAACTAACAAGAGGCGAATTAAAGGGCATAGCTAATTAAACACGCTTCTTTGCACGAATGCACGCGAGCTGTATTCCCATCGTGGGGCTGGAGGTCAGCTTCTCACGGGGCTCCAGAATATCTCATAACAGAAACACAAAACAAGTCAAAGGACCGGCTGTTGTCAAACATTGCGGCAGAGCAACATGTAAATGCATGTACATGGCAGATACAATGTACACCAAACAAAACTCGACAGGTCTACTGACCCGTCAATATCGCTACCGCTCTCGCCATTCGCAAGTTCATCGTGTCGACTAAACAAAAACACGAGCGCGACAATCGTACGGCATGACTTTTAGATGTACGTATTCAACTTGATGTGGAGAGATGCGTGCACATAGACAAGCAGAGACACACGCATAGTCCTTCACAAGACCGCTGGGGCAAGTGATGTTAGCAAACACCTATCGAGGCCAACAAGGTGGATGAACGAGGGCATGGTATGGCAACGTTGTCTTCCTAATACGGCTCACACTGTCGACCTAGGCAAGGCCCGGAAGCTGTTCGATACAACTCACCACTGATGTTAGCTGTAGCTGGGAATCAAACTCCGGCCTCCAGTTTTTTGGCGGAGTGTACTGACCCCACTGCACCACCGCTCGCGACACGCACACACGCAGACATGAATATACACGCACGCACACCACCTTAGCGCACTGCGGCAACCATCAGACCACCACTTCCGAAAACGCACACATGTATAGGCACACACACACACAGCCCCATCAACTGCATTTATCCCAAAATTAACCCCCGACGGACACCATTGGCAACACACAGGCAAGACAACTCATCGCAAGATTTGGGCAGGGCACAAGGGGATTCAAATACAGTACTTTCAAACAAACATACATGCCAACGTATACATAGGTTCGTAGCAGTGCGCTAACCACTACGCAACTTCGCTTTCCATATACCCACACGTGCAAATACAGAAGCACACAAGACACACCGGCCTACATGTTCGTCCCATAATTAACCCATGACATCTTTCTTTTTTTTGAGCAAGGAACGCGACAGGCAAGACAACTCATCGCAAGATTCGGGCAGAGCACAGGGCAGAGGTGGGGAATCAAATACTTTGCCTGCGTCGGCCAGCGCGGGGGATGCGGGCAGCTTATTCCGGGTGCCTCTAAATAGTCTGTAGTAGTAGGGGGATGCGCGGGGATGGGTCCTGGTGCGCTGCGCTCTAGAAGACACGCACTAGATAACAGCCAACATAGCAGGCGAGCACAACACGCGCGCGCACAACCGACAACAGCAGCAGCAGTCCGGCAGGCACAGCACAATGCCAATATAGGATGCACCCAAGGCCTACCATCGTACCGGTTCGCCACTGCTCAACGACGCGTTACGCCAAGAAGGGTGGCGAGTGTCCGATCACTAGCTGGGAGGGGGGGGGGCTGCATCTGACACGGGCAAGACAGCACAACACTGCGCTAGCGGGAACTTATCGCAAAGCAACGAGCCAACGCGTTCGCCCTATGTCTCCCGTTCTCCTTCCCCACCCCTCAATTACCGTAATCTCCGGATTATAAGATGCTCTGGAAAGTAAAACGCACCACTGCCCTCCCACCACCCAAACCTGCGCCCGGCATCAACGAGGTAATACGAATCTGGTCTCGCGTGCAAGCGGGACACCTATCGGATGACAAGCATGCCCCAACTTTTGCTTTAAAAAAAAAGGCAAAGGTGACAAAATCAAGCCACACAGGTGTGGTCACACACGCACACCTACAGAATAAGATCCACACCCACCCACCCCCCCCAGCAGCTCCGCCACTTTTGCTTTGTAAATACAGGGGGGGGGGGGAAAGCGTCATAATCCGGAGAATAGGGTAGTACTCGCATGCGTACGTACGCACCTGCCCCCCCGCTGTGGTTCTTACCTGCTTGAACGTTACGCAGTGTAACAAAGGATCTTTGTGAACCAACCGCTCCCCCCCATCCCCTCCCCTCCCCCCCCCACCAGGCAAAGTGACAAGGGGGCACAGCAGTTCACAACGAAGCGCACACACACCACGGACAGGAGCTTACGCAACGGGCACTGGGAGGGGGGGAGGAGGAGGGGGCTCCGCGAGGCGTCTGTGTACACGTTTTTGTCTTCTCTAACAAACGCGAGGCGCCGCATTGATGGTTGTTCTGTTCGACAGGGGACAGAGGGCACGTGGGAGGGGGGAAGAGAACGCAGCCTTCACATCCCCACCGCACACTTACCCTCCCCCGCCCACTTGCTTTTTGCAGAAAATGTCAGGAGGAAAAATAAAATAAAACAGAACATGACAACCTTTAATCGCAAACAAACCTTGACCAGTACATATCAGGGCAGCACAAAATGAGTAGCAACGAGCAATTTGTGTGACATCACAGCATCAGTGAAACATATGCAACACCTCTGCCATTTCTTTTAATTATGAGCATCTTCAAAAACAGTTTTGTTAAACACATTGAAGCGTACACAAGTTGAAAAAAAAGCCTTCTACATCACCATTATCATCAAAACCAGTTGTTTTAACCGAACGTTACTTCACGTACGTTTTTTTATCTATTTACGCAGGCTTTTAGGCTACGGGTTAGAAATAAAATAAAAAAAATCTAAGTTTAACATTTTTCACAGGGTAAAGGTGAAATTTTTGCCAACCAAACTTTTACATTTCTGCACTTGCTGCCCTCGCCGCAAAGGTTGTCAACAACAAGGCTTGAACAAAGGCCGGTGTCCTAAAACAACAACAACAACCAACTAACCGCTTTCCCCCACCGACAATTTGGTACTGAATTCCTCCTTCCCTCTCAACTGCACAGCACAGCGGTGTAAGAAACTCTGGCGAAAGACAGCTTACAAGGTTGGCCGTTTAAATTGCAAATAAAAAAATACAAAATAGGAAGCGAAATATGAATTCAAACAAAGCTACGTAGCAATGCTTGTTTTTTTTACTTCTGCTGCTGCCGCAGAGGAGTAGCACACGAGGGCTTCTGGGCATAACCATGCAACTAAGCTACCACTTCTGGGAGAGATTTCTCCCCCATCCCCCACCCAATTTCAGCGGAGCCGTCTCTGCAGCAGAAGTTAGCGCTACGGGGAAGGTGAACACACGTTACGGGTAAACGGGCGCGGGCCAAGGCGGGCGCCGACGCGCAAGACGTTGACTTTTTAATCGTTGGCTCGGAGGTTACGCTGCTTCCTACGTGCACCACACGTGTGTGGGGGGGGGGGACAAGAGGGGACTAGGTGGACAACATTTTTAATCGAATTACAAATAAAAACCTCACACTACAAACAAACAAAAAAAAACCCCCGACCAAGCGAGCGGACCCCATCTATAATTTCTAAAACTCCTTACGGATAAATTAAAAAGTTGACGTTCTAGCCCACCAACCAAATACGTCATTCACAGCTGGAAAACTCAATCACACAGGTCTCGGAGCACGCGCGGAAAACTTGACACAACTGCCTCCCTCGCCACCACCCCAACCCTCTGCCAGCACTTGAAACACCATTTCGGAACATTACCTTTTTTCGGCAAAGATTTCACCTTCACTACTACTGCCTACAGAAAAGTTGAGTACCCAGAAGTTACTTGTTTGTACATAATAGTTGACCCTAACCCCCCCCCCCCCACCCCAGAGTAATTACAGTCACGCTTTCTTTAATCCGACCACATTTGTTTCCATGGAACACGTCCGAGATTTGAGGTTCACGCTACACAATTAACTACCTTAAAATTTGGACTACAACAAGCATAAGAGCGACGGGAAATATAACTCAAGTTATGGAAGTTCTCAAACGTGACGTCGAGTTAATAGTCGACGGGTTTAAAGAAGTTTGACTGCATTCATTGCGTTTCTTTCCTTTCTTTTTGCGTGCAGCATTCACGCTACACATTGCAGTAACGTTTTTTTTTTTTATCTTCATCAAGATGACATCAAGTGAGCACCCACAAACGTTTTACACTTCCGCACGTCCCAGCACAGTGTGGGGGGGGCCACCAAATTACCAGGGCCTGCGGGGAAACAAATGCAGAGACAGAAACACACAACAGCTGCGTTAAATCGGGCGGCTGGCTTTGGCACAGCGACAAGGTAGGGCTCCTCCGGACGGAAGGGCACGCGCGGCTAAAATGCACCACACGGGGAGGGGGGGGGGGAGGAGGGCCAGGGAGGAGGCGTGGAGGGGGAGAGAGCGAGGGGGAAGAGAATAGAGGACGACGATGAAGATGACATGGCGTTAAGTGCCACGTGGCACGTGAAGAGAGAGAGAGAGAGGTCGCATGTGAGCACGTTTGTGATGTCTCACAAACACAAGAATCTTCCACCGCTGAAAGGTCTGGGGGGGGGGGGGGAAACACAACTTTACACGAGTCATAAATTTGTTAAGATGTTTTTTGGCACACAAAGGGACGGGGGGGGGGGGGGTGAAAAATAAATCGTCAATGAAGGGGGAGGGGGGGTGGGGGTTATGCAAAAAGTCTGGCGCGAAATTTGTTGGGATGACGGATAAAATCCGCACAACAGCGCTCGACGGAACATTGGCAACAAACCGAACAAAGGCACAGAATTACCGTCCGCGTACTTCATTTCAATACTTAAAATTGATTTTAAGATAGAAAAACCCAAACACACGGAGCAGGAAAAAAACCCTCAGAATATACGGCGATCAATGTTTCGAATTTTTTTTAAAAAGATGGCCGAGCAAGGCCGCTCTAAAGCACACGCGCAACAGATAGACACAAAACAACCAGGCAAACAGCACACGCATAAAACACACGCACACGCACGTACGTTAGGACGTACACAGACAGACCTGGCTTGCTCACGGGGTAGAGTGAGAGTGCCCCGGGGGAGGCGGAGGTCTTCCCATCCCCTGGCGCTGCCCCTGCTGCTGCATCTGTCCCTGCTGAGGCTGCGCCCCGGGTGGCTGCGGCTGCTGCTGTTGCGGAGGCTGCGGCGGCTGCTGCTGCTGCTGCTGCTGCTGTTGCTGCTGCTGCTGCCTGCTGCATCCCGGAGCGCCCGGTGGAGAGGGGACGGCGGTCTGGTTGTAGTAGGACATCTGCTGCCGGTAGTACTCGGCCCACTGGCTGTCGGTTGATCTGAGCGTCAGCCTGGCCGGCCTGCCCCACCGCACCTGCCACCGCGGCGGCCTGCTGGGCGGCCGCGTCGCTGCCTCCGGTCACGGCCGCCTGGGCACTGGCTGCCCGCCGGCACGATTGTGTGGGAAGAAGAAAACGACAAACGGGCACGTTTAAAAACTATAAATCGGTCTTCCATCAACCCCCCCCCCCCCCCCCCCCGTCCCCAATGGTACCCCCCCCCCCCCCGACTGTGCTGTAGCAATCATGAAATGAGACGAACTGGCCATTTGGAAAAAAAAACTCTTCATGGTAAGAGAATGGCCCACAAAAGCGGATATCGCTGATCTACATCTGAGAACCCCCTTAAAAAAGTGACCTGTGGCCACAGTACAGCAGTGTTTCTCAACCCATAGATGGTGTCCCCACCCCCCCCCCCCTTCAAAAAAGAAACATTAAGGGGGTGGTGGAGGCTGCAGGATTATACACCGTGCAGGAGAAACTTCAAGAGCCTATGGGGCAAACCAGAGATTGAAATTTTGCATGGGTCTTGATTTACTGCAGTAGGTTAGGCCCCGTGTTAAAATTATTTTCTACCGAGCGTTAATGACAACGATTTTGGCATAAAACCACCACATGACCAAGCTCAAAAACAAATACGGATGACAATAACATTCGTCTCACTGCAGTGAATCCAATAATTTATTCTTACAGCTGGAATTTAGCTATACGACAGACTATCGAGTTACGAGATTTGGTTCGCAACTGTCTGGATTCAAACTCCGCATTCTCAGCGTTATTGTCATTGGCCACTGGCTCAAGGTGCTCTGCACTCTGAGGACGTAACGCTGTTTCCATCGGTTAGCCACAAATGTCTTGCTCATGACCGGTGAGCTGTACCGGGCCGAAACATTAAAGCAATAACCTGCAAACAACAGAGCGCACTGGACCAACAGACACCCGACCTTCATGGGTGCTCGCCAACAGAATTGGCCCCAACGGTCTGTTGAAGGCTATAATGATCGCTCTTTGCGCGAGACTTTGGTGGGTGCACCTGCCACAACCCACTGACCTTGGCTCTTGTAGTAAGCCTCCAGGCTTTGGTGTAGTCTGGCTGAGCGCCGGCAGGCTGCCCAGGCTGCTGGCCTGTTGGCACAAAGAATAAAAAAACTTGTAACGCGCACAGCATTCACTCGCTCTCGACAATGGGAGAGAATTGACTCAGAGGCACAAGGAACCACAAAAGGTGGAGGGCAGCCAAGCAATTAGGAGGCACTACCTGCAATTGTCCAAGCTCTGCGGGCCTCTATATATTAAAGTGAATTTGGCCAATTAATGACTGTTAAGCACAGTTAGTAGGCAGTCGACTGCAGCCTGGCTTGCAGACAAATAAAATTAATGCTCTTGCACTCACTCACGCGTTACCTTTATGAAGCAAAGACTGAATACTCAACTGCGTTTCGTCTACCCGTTGTACCACAGGGATAGTGATGCACTTTTTCTCAATCTACTGCTAGATGAGGGCCTACCCATCCTCTACTGATCATGGGGGTTACTTAATCATACTGAACCACACTTGTCAATGTGGATTAAGTCAAGGAAAATAGCATAGGAGTGGGAGTATATAATGACAGCACAACACGATTTTCTTGCTGCACTGCCATGCTCCGTTCGACAACGGAGCCCAGCACCAGCCTACAACAGTCTGTATTAGGCATGGTCGCCCATCCAAGCACCACCTAAAACTCAACTCGGCTTCGCTTCCGAGATCGGGAACGTGACGAGGCTATTGTGCCCTTCCAAAGATATGTCGAAAGTGTGTTCAAAAGTCATGCCCATATATGCGACTCTTCTTCCTCGTTTCTGTAGAGCTTGTGTTCTCGGTGCAGAGAGACGTGCTCACCGATGGACTTGTAGTACTCCTCCCATGCCTTCGTATAGTCCACTTGCCCATTCTGCCCAACCGTCGCCTGGTTGGGATCTGCTTCACCACCATCATACAAGCGAGGGCACACGATCAAGTTTCAGGAAACGCATCATATAAATGTAATGAACACAAATCTTTTAAGTGACATTCCACCACTGTTCCATTGACATTAAAAAAGCAGTCACAACCACAGTGACTCCACGTGAGTCAGTTTTTGAGCGATTTCAGATGCGCTTCCGCGGCCGTCTGGAACGCTCTTCCTTCCGACATCAGGAAGCTACTGGAGCTAAGCACTTCAGAACGTACTTTTGTGTTAAGTTTATCCTTCCCGCACACCTCCAATTATCACAGTTGGCTACATACGGTGCGATAGAAGTTCAACATACATACAATTTCAAGTTTTTTTTCTCACTGACAAAGCATTGTGTCGAACAGTCTGGGACACACAACCTAGTTAATCATCGACAAGATGTGCTTGGCTATTGGGTCGCAAATTTACTTCAAGAAAACCAATTTAGCATGAAATAATTCACCCACCTCCCGATTGGACAATATTCATGATACAAGGTCACAAATTCAAATCAATAATCAATGTTTTATTTCTTCACGTTTTACCTCTCGTTTGTATTTTTGTGTCATTTTTTCTACATTATCACCACTCGGTTAGCCTAAATTTAACATAACTAAAACTACATTTTATAACAGCAACGTTAACACAAGGCTTCAAAAAGCACCTTACAAAATATCATACAAAAGCATGAATGAAAATAGGTTCTCAGAAGTACAATCGGCCACATGCATCATAAAGCACATCAATTTGAAACGATTAATCGTTTCATACCTTAATAGCCCAATCAACGCATTCATCACTTTGCCAAACGTGTTAAAAGCAGAGTGCCACTTACCGGCTGCTTGCTGCGCAGCCACCTGCTGCTGCTGCTGTTGCTGCTGTTGCTGCTGCTGCTGTTGTTGTTGCTGCTGTTGCTGCTGCTGTTGCTGCTGTTGCTGCTGCTGTGGCTGCTGAGCTCCCATCATTCCCATCTGCTGGGCCTGCATGCCAGGCTGTACGCCGGGCTGCATGGCGGTCTGCATGGCAGCCTGCATGTTCCCAGGCATGCCGCCCTGCATGCCACCCGGCATGGCGCCCGGCATTCCAGCCGGCATTCCGCCAGGCATTCCAGCCGGCATCCCGCCGGGCATCCCGCCGGGCATCCCACCGGGCATCCCACCGGGCATGCCGCCGGGCATGCCGCCGGGCATACCACCGGGCATGCCGCCGGGCATGGCTCCCGGCATCCCGGCCGGCATCCCGCCTGGCATTCCTGGTGGCATCCCACCAGGCATACCGCCTGGCATGGCGCCCTGATGCCCGTAGTAGGCAGCCCAGTTGGCCGCATTCGGATCTGCCGGTGCGTTGCCTGCGAATGGCAAAGGCAGTACCCATTGGCAAAGGATCTTTGGGAAAGCGAATGTAATGAGCCTTGGGTTCCATAACCAATAGATTCTGGGCTCTGCTGGCCCAGTACTTGCCCAATACTGGCCCAGGAACAATACATGATCTCCTTCATTTTAAAATATATTTGTACACAAAGTTTTAATGTAGGCATGGGTTAGGTTGGATTGGTGTTCCTCAAACTCCAGTCCTTCCAACCCCAAATCGAGCTGTCCATTACTCACCAGGGTTCATTGCTGGCGGCATGGGTGGCTGCTGAGGCTGCTGCCACGGCTGCTGGAAGTTTCCCCAGCCAGGCTGCTCAAAGGGCTGCGACGGCGGGCCCCTACGGCAGAGCGAAAACAGAGGGGACGTCACCCATGAACACGTGAACCGCACGGGACGCAGCAGGTGAGAAACAGTGTGATGTGATAATCAGATGCAGCAATGATTTAGTGATTATTGTGCTCGTGATAAGAATGGAGGGCTTTTGCCAATCCACTGCTGGATGAAAGGCTGCCACTGGGATTGTTTGGCCATACTTCACATTGTTCGGTGTGGGTTGGTAAATGGGTAGGCCCAGGAATCAAACTTGTGTCCCCCCTTTCTTCCAGAGTGCATCACGCAATCTTCAATGGGCTGCCTACTACATTGTATAAACTAGTGAAGGTTATGCGAGCTGCGGACTGAAAAATCGGTGAGTATCGTGAGTGGTGAATGTCTGACGAAGGTCCCCGTGAGTGTAACGCGAGTGCACGTCACCCCGTCTGTAGCACGAGCTGCCCACTTGTGTTAAGATATGTACCTGGGAGGGCCTGGGGGACCAGGATGGAAGGGACCAGGGCCCTGACCTTGACCAGGAAAGCCACAAGGTGGGCCAGGTGGGCCACCCTGAATAACACGAACACACAAAAGCACACATGAACAAATATCCTCTGCATAGACTGTTGGGGCAAGTACTGCAAGCGAATGCCTGTTAAGGCTAGCACCATACACACCGGGCTGATTTGGTCTCCTCTCGTGTAGATGTTGACACACCGCACCAGTTACTCTTTTGAGGAAAGTCAACCTTACAATTATATACAAAGCCCCAAGCCAGGTACCAGATATTATTGTCCACAAGTAATCATAGCCAGCAAATGAAATATAAGATGGGCCTACCGAGTTGACAATGTTGTCGATCTGCTGGCGGGCGTGCTCTATCTGCTGCTGCCCCCCCACGGATGAAGAACAGCTTGAAGTTAGGGTCAGCGCCAGGTGGGGCGTTGCGCTGAATCTCGATCTGCGCGCCCGTCTGCTGGCTGATGTTTCTGATCGTCTCCCCTCCTACGATCGAAGCCACACGAACATGCACACATAAAAGGAAAAAAAAACATGAGCATCGTCAGGGGGGGGGGGGGGGGTGGGATATCAATGCAGAGATAAACCTCGCCGACTTAAATAAATTGGGTGCGAAGTTCGCTGTTGAGAAAAAAAGTAAATTAACGCAAGGGTTAATTCTAATAACATCCCTCCTATGCATTTTGCACAAAGCCTCCTCTCGCATTGCTGTACAGACCGAGTGTATACCTATTAATTTAGTCTACACCTACTAATTAAAGCAATTAAGGCCGGTGTGGCACATGAGAGGGTGGTGCAGCTAGCAGCATTCCTGGCTGCCTTTTGTCTCCCAAGTGCTAACTATTTTGGTCCATGCAGTGTTATCACCATAAAGCCAAGGTAGCAGGATTGTCAGTAACTTTAAAGCCGTTATTTATCATTAGCAAAACTCACGTTGGAGAGACTGACACACAGCTTAGGTTGTCTTCAAACAGGGGATGTTTGTTGTTTAGGTAACATTTTCCCTTAATAAAATGGTAATTATTTTCACGTAAAATTACACCAAACCATTTAACCTCAAGGGACACAAACACCAAAGGCTGCCTGCTCGGACAGTTCCAAAACACGACATGTGCCGTATTGACTTTTGGCCACGCACACTTTTTAAAGGTTTTACGCTGCATTATTCCCAATTTCTTGGTGGTCCCTTGTCACAAAAAACCCCCTCGTCGGCGAACAGACTTTCAGGAAATTTCAAAGCGAGCATAGCCCGAGGGTCGAAAGACGATGGCTTAAAAAAAAAAAACGGTAATCGATCATCAATCCTTTATGTCCACCGCACGCGAACCTATGCCTGCCCCCCCCCCCCACCCATCAAGTCGGCTACGCAACAAAGCGCCGGCCTCCACACATCGATCTCGCTATCGTCACGTCTTCGGGGCCCGTCGGGCAAATGAGGATCTTGACTCGTGCGTCACGGCGCGTTAATGCTGTGGCTCCCCCCCTCCTCCGGACACGATGGCGGCGGTGTAACGCGCAATTTGCCCAGCCGCATGGAACTCTCACAATGGCTCCGACAGTGAGCGATGCGAACGTCCGCGGTGGTCAGCCTACGGCCGGTGGGGCTGCCCCCTTCCCGCCCCTTCACAAGCCCCCCCTGCCCGTAACCCTCCCCAGGATAGGATGGGGTGAAGGCAGGGGGCGGCCACGCCTCTGCATGAGGACTTCAGGTCTCTTGGTAGAACGTTGGCTGCTGTGTTCACTTGCTAGCTCAAAGGGCCGTCGTTTGCTTCGATGTGAAGAATTAAATTGTTATTAGCTTTGTGAACACAATGCCTCCACTACTGTTGATTTTCCCTGTGTGGTTTTCTTTAGGCATGTTGTATGTTTCTACCAGGGCAAAATAATGCATCTATTATTTTAAATGTTTTAACTCACGATACTTGGGAGTAAAAATAAAGACTTTTTAATGGATTTTTCTGTTGCGTGTAGTCACTTTAAGATCTTCTTGGTTCTTTCAGTAAAGTCACGTAGAATGAGAATAAGACAATACAATTCTCACGACGTTTCGGCCACAACACAAGAAGGCTACTTGTGTTGTGGCCGAAACGTCGTGAGAATTTTATTGTCTTATTTTTGTTTTATTGTTTGATTCTCATTCTACGTGACTTTACCGAAATAACCAAGAAGATGAATCCTTGCAGTCACGAAAGCTTTAAATCGAAATTTCACTTTAAGATGTTTTTGTTTGTTGCGGTTGCACCCGAGTCAAGAGCCGCATGGCTCACAGGGTTATACCTAATAAATGAAATTGAAACTTCGATTGGTATGTTTTATGTAATGCCTTTGCTAAAATGTATATCATTTCATTAAATCACGACCCCTAAAAACGTGTAAATGTATCAACTCACCAGCGGAGGGTGAATTGTTACACCCTTACGATGTTAACTGACTAATATTAATCTTTATAATATCATGCATAAAATTGTATGTGTGGAATCGAATAGATGGGATAAGCAAAGAAACAAAACTGCACTCATGAGAAAGCATAAAAACCCCCCCATACAAAACGCAGACAGGAAACAACAATCCTTGAATAGAATCACCACACCCGATCACGGCGAATCATCCAACCGCCGAGGCTCGGTGACGAGAAATTAAATCAACAAACGACTGTATTTTAACTCGGGATTAACACCGCTGTGCAAAAGTGGGCATTCTTTGGCTGCTGGCCTAGGTGTGAAGGCAGTGTGGCTCAGAAACGGCGGTTTCTGAGCCACAGACTTTCAAGGAACGCAACTCGTGCTTAGCGCAGCAGCCCATTCCAGCCCTCTGACCGCAGCGCCAACGGGAGTCCGGCCGCCCGGGGGGCATTTCACGCAACGAGCGGGCGTTGACGATCGCGGCTGCGGCAGCGCAGGGCGGCGATTACGGAGACTCTTGGCGAGGCCGACAAGCCGCGCGCAGAGATGTCGCGTCAAGGCGCGTGCCCCAGCGGCGCGAGGCCCGAGTCGGCCGGGACGACGCGAGGGGGGGGAAAGCGAGCGGCGGGGAAAAGGACCAGGCCGATCGGTCGTAGGGCGGAGAGAGGTTAAGAGGGGGCTGGGGAGGCTACGTAATAAAGGCATCAGTGAAGGCACCCCCGGCTCGCGAAAGGTCAATGGGGCTGTTTACGGGGTCCGCGGGGGACAGATGCGGGGACCCCCCCCCCCCCCCAACTGAAAAAACAGTCTGCCCCTTTCTTCGTGGGCCGGCCCGCGTGGAGGGCACAGAAGTGCAAAGTGAACTCGACTGTAATGTCATTTGATGAAAATCAGAAAGCAATTAATCAAGGCGGCTTTAAAACACGAGCTGACAGCGCCTTTTTGCCGGCGGTGCCATTCAGCCCAGCCCGCAAGGCGGTTTCGCTTTCTGGGCCATTGTCATGGTAATACGTCCCGGGGAGGAGAAGACAGATTTATCGTTCTGCCACCAGCAAAGGGGAAAACCTTCTGATCTTGACAGCGTTTTCTTTCACCGCAGTTCAGGAGCGGCGGGTAAAGGGGCCGGCCCCACTTCGCCCGTGTTAAATTGTCGTCAAACGAGGCCCGGCCAGCCGTGAGAAATTTAATATGAGCAACAACGCTGCATTGTGTCCGAACGGACGCTTTCAAAACGACCCCCTTATTAAAGTCCTTTAATAACTCTTGAAGTAGATAAAGAGTTTAAACAAAAAGTGGCGAGCTCTGTGTGCAACGGGCCATCCAGGAAGGCAACAATCGCCGCAATTAGGGACGTGCCGGTCGCGCCGCTCAGTTTGTCGGCTGGCCTCGAAGTCGACGGGTTGCCCAACCGCTAGGTGGGTTGCAAGGGCCGTTCAGGCAACGGAAGATACATTTTGGAATGTGTTCCGAGTCTGGCCGATGGCACAGTGCTGAGAAGGCCCGGGTGGGGGTGGGTGACTCACAGGTCAGACCCGCTGAGCTGGCACCACTGAGATTGTGGGTTTAAATGCATGTTTCAGCTGCCCGTCATTATTTCAGGTCCTCAAGTGTAGTGAGGTCTTGGCCACCAATGATTACAAAAAAGATCACATTGGCTGTGCGTATAATTTGACTCCACTTCAGCTTTGAGACTTAAAATCGTTTTGACGAATGCAGCAAACATTATCTGCACTAGGGCGTGCAGATTAGGGCTGCCTCCTGCAGTGTGGAGCAACAGAGGTCAATTTAAGGGATCTCAGAGGTAGCTCTGTTACATCTGCTTCCACAACCCATTCTACAACTTGAAATTATTGCACTTTTATGCGAGAGCCCCAGGTGAATTGGTCTCATAACATTACACTGATAACACAATAGGGATACAACTGGAGAATATGAAATAAAAACTAGAGCACAGCAGGAGTGTGTGGGCACTGGAATGACGAATTGGCTCAGAGTACATTGCCACTAAATGGTTGACTGTCACAAGGCTGAACAGCCTTTCACATTTTTTCTTTGTTGTGGTAAAAGTTTGTGTAGGCTGAGATTTCAATTGTATTGGGGTCAGGGACGAGATAAGAAAGGAGTCTTCAGATCCAAATGACGAGCAAAATTAGTTTCTAATTCAAGTGAATGTTTTGACAGCAGTGTTCTAGAAAGAAATAAAATGCACCATGATCATCATTCAAGCTGGTTAATAAACATTCAAGTTGGTTAATAAACATTCAAGTTGTGCAATGGCCCTTTTTCAAAGCAAAAATTGCACAAATAATGAATGGCTTTGCTATTTACGTCTCAAGTTATATTTAATCTGGTGTGATATATTAAGTTGTTATTTTAATAATACACAACCCGTCGTCAAATTACTGCTAGATAAAAGCCTCACCACAGTGTCGGTGACTATACTTCACCACGCCGGTCAGTAAAGGAGAGGGGGCCGGGGAGGGGTAGGGTACCAGGACCAGTCCTATATCACTCACCAATGATGTTTGGCACAGCTAGGAATCACTCAGATAGCCATGATCAAAGCAACGCATGCTAATCAATACACCACACCACTCCCCCCCCCTTTTTTAAAAATACATTTTACGTGGAACTAATGAATTGTCACCACATTGCCAGAATCCCAGTGAAAATGGGTTGTGAATCTCAGGAAAATTAATCCTCGTGAAAATAACACCGTTTGAGATGACACTTCATAATGCTGTATTTTCCTATTTTCACAACTCGTTCAGGTGAGCAATTTTTACATAAAAACGCGTGGTCAGCTTCACCACTTGACAACTTTCAATGCGTCTCCACTTCGTACAGGAGGTGCAACTGCAATTCAGCGGCTTGGCAGAGAACTCGTGCGAATAGTCTCTCATTGATTGGCAGTATACATTAACTTGTTCTCAAATCGTCAAAGTGAATAATAACAAAATGCATTTATTTCCACCTATAGCCAATACTGCTACCGTAGCCGCTGCTGCAGAATGGCGTTTAAACAAAAAAGGCACAGGGTTTATTATTCACTTCACCAACTTCATAGAAAAGCACTCCCTCTCTATATTTATAAGGTGCCGGGCCCCAGATGCTTAACATGACAAAAGAGGCCAATCCCCTCCCACTCGACCCGTGGTCAACCCCCCTACTGGTGGCCCAACTGATTAAAGCCATGCTCTACACGCGCAATTGCAACATTGGACGACTGTGTTTGTGCACCAGGGCATGCTAAATTAAGGCATTTAAAATGACGCAGGGTATAAAGAGAGGAGAGACTGAAAGCGAGAGGGCCGAGCGTGGAAGCCAAGGGTTGCCCGGTCTAATAACCATGCCAAGCCGGCGTGCACGTTTGGCTACAAGGACGCTTGGCGGAAACATTTAACGCACGTTGACGATGCTGCGTCGGGGTAAAGCACTGGCGCAGCGGATATCGGACACTGCACGATGAACCGGGTGGGGGTAAACTGTGTTCCGATACCCAGACACGTCTAGCATCAGTGACGAGTGACATCTGAACCAGTCCTGTTCCTCGCCTCCTCCTTCATCAATCCCTCGCCAAGCAGCATGAGCAAAAACGATCAAACAACACAATAACCGGCACATTTTGGGGAGGCTTCCATCCAACAGTGGCTTGACAAAAGGCTGTAAATATAAACACCAACCAAGCAAAAAAATGAAAAGGCTGACATTTGGACAAAGGACCTGAGTCATCACTTCGGGTGATCCCAAGTTCAAAAATGTTCAAGTTGAAAATTACAAGCAATACTATTCACTTCTGTCAATCTAAGGACACCCCCCCCCATATACTAGGTAGTTGTTTTTCTGTATTATTGGTAATGCCAACGTGTTAATGCATGGGCAGGGCAAAGGTATTTAAAAGTCCTATTCAGCACTGGGTCAGTAAAAGGTTCCCCTAACCCATGATCTAGGGTAAATTGTGAGCGACTCCTGCCACCAACTGCCCTGGCATACACCGTGAGCTTATCCACAAACAGGAGTGGTGGCAAAACTCTACAAAACTAAACAATTAGAATGTTTATTTTACCAGGTAAGGCTCACTCAGCTACATAGCTCTTTTTCAGAAGCAACCTGGCCACAAATGACAGGCTCAACGAAGTGACGGCTTATCATGCAGAAATTTAAAGCAACCAAATACTCTGAATGCACGTTGACTCTAAATGTGAAGGGAAAAAACCAGAGGACCCTGAGAAGAATCCACGGGGACCACGGGAAGAGAGAACATGCCAACTCCAAATATTACAGGCTTCATGGTTGGGATCGAACCCCACAACGCCCCCTCATACCAGGCGAGGTAGTTAACATCTTCGCCACCGTGATGCCGTGAGGTTATCCGCAAACAGAAGCGACAGCTGCGGTCTCTCACCCCTGCCGATGACGAGTCCGCACTTGGAGGTGGGTACTGATAGGTGAAGTGCTCCTGCATGCTTCCGCCGCCACCAGGGGAGTGGCCTGCCCCAGTCCCCACCACAGGAAGCCGCCCCCTCGTCCACCACCGCCCCGGCCACGACCGCGTCCGCCGCCACCGCCGCCGCCACCGCCGCCGCCACCGGGAACGGCCCCCTCCTGCTTGCAGTGATGAGCATCATCAGTCATGGGGGAGGTAGGTATATCGACTAAGTGGAAATGCTGCGGTCATCATCAGCCAGGATCAATCCACTGCTGAATGAAGGCCTCCCTCCAGAACCCCAAGCAGCAATCTTAGGCAATACGTTCATCACACATACAACAAAAATATATTTTTTAGTCTTTAATTCAAATGTTACCTCAAAATGTGAACATTCAGCGAACAGCTAGCCTGCCTACCTACTAACCTTCACTTCCGTAAAAAATTGTTCAAAATTATATTAAAGACGTTTTTTTCCACAGTGCCTCGAAATCCACAGTGCTGTGGCATGTGGTGTAGAAATGGGGGAGAGCCATGTACAGTGACCCAGACAAGGCCGTAGTGCTGCCATTCCTGGGCCAAAGTCTTTGCTGAGCCATCCCAATGATGCTGTATGGAATCAGAATCTTTATTGAGACTAGAGGAATCCGATGAGCTATGAATCTCTGTTTCACAGATGTCCAGTATGAGTGGGCCAAATTTACAATACAAAAACATTTGCTGGGAGTGCAAAATAAAAAAATGGTAAACAAGTCACTAAATGTATATGCATTCATTAAACATCAATATCGGGCAATGCAGCAAAAACAACAACAAAACAGTCCCCCAGACCACACCAAGATTAACAGTCCCTCAATAAATGGCACAGTAACATTAAAGGAGGGATTGCCATGCGGCGACGCTGTGCCGCGTATTTAAACCTGTATGCTGTCGAGCAGGTTGTGAATGAGCTGGGACGCGTGCTGGCAGCAGTTCGGGCGAACCCGACCAGCACGGCAACGCGCTCGGGTCCACTGCCTGTCATCTGTACGCGTACACGCCAAGGCGGCGGGGGGGGGGGGTGAGAGAGCGTGAGATTGAGCAAAGCGGCCCTAACTCTTGCATGTGATATCACAGGGTTTTACAATAAGTACTATAGGCAACCAAGGCGGGTGAAATGTCAACTCCAAGCAACCTAAAGTAACTGCAAAACAATCAATAAATCACGCCTCGTCTGCCGAGCTGCCCTGAGGCAAGAGGGATCAAATTTAAAGTGCCTATCCAAGCTGCACATGCTTACACGCAGTATCTCCCACCATTCAAATGCGCCGCACCGCAAGCAAATGTGCATCCGAGAGGGTTTTCAGGATTTTACAAATTATCGCCCGAGTTGGGCAAGTTACTTGACCTAAAACATTTGCATGCACACACATGTCCAAATGCAAAGATCCCATTATAGCCTGAACTGACTTTTTGGGGCAAGTGCTGTTAGCGAGGACTTTTAAAGGCCAGCGCGGCCCGATTGGATGGGTGGCAGCACGTCAACGCCACCTTTGGCTCCCTTGTCGGCGACGTTTACACACCGCACCAGGTACTCATTTGAGGCTGAGTTGACCTAGGGGAGGCCCAGGACCTCAGTGAGGTCTAGGACCAGTTCAGATAATCGTCACTGGTGTTAGCCGTGAGCATGAATCAAATTGGGTCACCGAGTTTCTAGCGGGGCAGGACTAACCGCAGCGCTCCCGTCTGTACACATGTATAGACAGACACACGGCACACACGGGCCACACAACGCATACCTGGCTTGAACTGTATCCGTACGCCCGCGTCGCTTTGGATCTTCTTGATCATCTCCCCACTGCGGCCGATGACGATGCCGACGGCTAAAGCGTGCTACGGTCACCTTAATGAGAGACAACCACGTGGCCGATGTAGAGAAAAACCCTCTCGTGCACCCATCGAGGAAGCCCACCCACTGACCTTGGTCCCAAACCTAACGTCGAAGCGAACCGCGGGCCAAGCTTGAAAAGTCAAATGAAGATGCAACCAAGTCACGGAGGGAAAAACCAGCATATGCATGATTCCGATAACGCTGTCCTAAATGCGATTGTCCTCGGGAAGTACTTACTTGCTGGTAATACCGTTACGTTTCAAGCCACACGATGAGATGTCACACATGCATGCATGACGTCGATAGATTATTTCACAGTATGTTTAAACATGTTAATAGCGATATCATCATGGGACCTCATTTGCCAGTACCAAAATATGAGAATAGGTTTTGCCCTTTTTCTGGAAACAAAACAGGTGTTAAGACGTTAGAGGACGCAGTACGCCTTTTGGCGTCCTGTGTTATAACACCGTTTTGAGACGAGGCTCAAAAGAAAGCTGTCTCTGGTGTGGATCAATCAGTTTCAAAGACAATGTATATATTATCAGAGTAAGTTTTTTGTTTGCATTCTGACCACAAGTATTGTGGTTTATGCAGACATGATTCCTTGTAAAAGGAATCAGTTTGGTGTTTAACATCTTAACACCTGTTTTGTTGCCAGAAGGGCAAAACCTATTCTCAATAGCGATATCACTAAAGTGCAAAAACACCATGCCTAATCATACATTTTACACCCTTTTTTCTCACGAAGTACAAAAATTCTGATTTAGCAGCTCAAGACGCATCCTAAAGTACAATCTACTAAATAAGTGATATTTGCTGGTCAAATGTTAATTTAACAATTTGATTTGCAAAAGACATTAACAAAACACTATCACGGCATGTGCGAGCGCATATTAAAATACAATAATGAATGAAGGCCTCCAGATACTATGCAGGTAACACGGGTTGTTTGACCACCAAACTTCACCACATTAGTCAGCGAGGGCTGGTGAAGTGGCGAGGTCCAGTTCATATATCACTCACTCGTGAAATTAGCCTGGCTGGAAATCTCATAGGACATTGTGTTAACCACTGCACCAATGTTAGACTATAAAATCAATCACCATAGCTGAGTAATTCTATGAATCATGTTAATCTCGTACAACCGATGTATGGCATAACCGCATGTCAAGTTTCTACTCAGCCATTCGTTGAAAACCAATACCCCCCCCCCCCCCCCCCCGCAAATTCAACAGTCTATTTCTTTTCAATGCAAAAGCATTTACCCAAGGCCACTGTGTAAACAGTGGCAGCATTTGCCGCTTAAAAATAAAACATGCAACTACGGCTAACAGCCACATTAAGCCGTTATCGCAAAGAAACCAAACCGTCACGAGAGACTTCATGGCAACGGCTGGTTGTTGACAGCATAACGATTCACCACCTCTGCGATTGGATGCATTTTCTACAATTGTTGCGTCACCATTCTATTCGTCACTCAATTCTCACTTGCGTCATTCATACTGCCTGGTTCATTCTGACCATCTCATAGGATCATTCTGTGTTGTCTTATTTGTTCCATTATCCTAATAAAGCTGGGCTCTTCTACTGAAGGCTCTGGGGTGGCCCACCGAGCTAAGGCCCGCCAAGAGATATAGCTCAGCAAGACAGAGGTGCAGATTTGCGATACAAAATGTCCAGATGCGTAGTCACATGTACAAGCTTTATGGAGTCACATCTTAACGTGTGGATACTATGTTTAACAATATCACGTGACATGTGACGTCATGTGGTCCACCAGTACACACTTGGGGTTCATGTGTCTCGCACGAGTTGTCACTCACCTCCATGCTGCCGACGCCACCACCGCCACCACCACCGCCCCCGCCACCTCCGCCGCCGCCGCCACCACCACCTCCGCCACCACCACCACCACCGCCGCCGCCGCCGCCACCGCCACCACCACCAGATTTATTCCCAAAGCCGTTGTTGTTGTTATTGTTGCCGGGACGGAAGTCCTCCCGATCCTTCTCTCTCAGCAATTCCAGCACCAGCTCCTTGGCTTGCTGCGGTGGAAAGCAGAACAAGGCTCAAGTTAGCGATCTCTACAAAAATACGGTGTTTTAATATCCAAAATCTTTTGGTCGCTTATATCAAAAATACATCACAATTTATATGGCGTGTAAAATGCGACAGCATCTCAGGAGGCTGTAAATCAAGTGGGCACTGTTTATTTTAGAGGGGCATGCTGGTCATAGGCAGATAAACCAAGGGGAAAAAAACATGCGAAGGGGCATGGATTCCCAACGCTGCCCAATGCGTTTGTCCTCGGAGCTAATTAATTGGCAATAACCAGGTAACCTTCCGAGCTGCGGAACGAGATGTTTCACGTGAGGTAATATGCGACGTTGTAAGATGTCATCGAACATAAATGTCATAGGGAGGTGGGCGCAAGGCATGTGACGTCACCACCTTGGCCGAAAGGGCTTGCCCCATAGATAGCTTTGTAAATCACAACCCTTTGATCAATATGGCCAGTTTTCTATAGGTTAGGTAATTACTAACTAATGAAAAACACAACTTTAAACAAATAATTTTACTCATCTTAGATCATCTCTATAATAGACACCATGACCCCACGTTACAGACAGAGCTAATGCATGCACACTCTCAACCTTACTTAGAAAAAGGTATTGAGCCTGGACTTGAACAGAGGGCAGTTGCTGTGTCTTGATACCAATTGACAAATTCCATTCGGAATCACACACACATATAGCCATTGCCGGCACTGTCGGGCAGAAGTAGAAACTTTTAAGTGTGTATACCTGCACTTTGAAGGGCTCGCCCATGATGCGAAGGGGCTTGTCAGCGCCCGTTGGCTGAGAGCCGTCTTGGATGAGCAGCATACGCACACCAGCACGGTCCTGAGACACAGGATCCAGTCACAAACTTCGCGTTACCAATCAGTTCAATGCAGGTTCGTGCTCACCATTTTCGAAGATCCCAAATCGTCTTGCTTCAGCTAACGTGTGTATGTTGAATTTCTTTCACGCGGTACATAGCCGACCGTGCTAATCGGAGGTGCAGATT